TTTTGAAGGGGATATTTCTTGATGATTTTATTGTATGTAATATAAATATTGTATTATTTAATACGATGGCATCTATGGATAATCAGACACGATTAAAACGTGACGCATTTGCTCTTAATAATTATGTCGATCGTTCAAAACCACCAAAAATCAGGCTTGGGGAGTAGTGATTACATTACTTCAAATGTAATTGTAATTATAGTTTTACCAATTACTTATAATTGAAACTTTATTAATTACAATTACTTGTAATTGAAGTTTGGCCAATTACTTGTAATTATAACTAAAGAATTTCCAATTATAATTACTTGTAATTGTGCATTTTTCCCTTATAATGTAATGTAATTAACATGTAATTGTAATTAGTAATAGCTAAATTAAAAGGAATTGTAACTTGCAAAACTTCAATTACAATTGATTTTAATTGGTTATTGCTCAATTACACATTATAAATAATTGTAATTGACTATGTAACGAAGCCTGATAAGAAAATCCTAATTTTATATTTAAATCTTTGAGGTTTCTGAAAATTATTTCGCCAAAAGACCTATTAAGTTAGTCACAAAAATATCTCTTTTAATGTTCGATTTTAAAAACGAAAGATCAACGGCCATATGAGCTTGCAAGCATTATTCCGAGAAAACTTTATGTATGAGAGCTACGTAAAGTTATGGACCGATTTTAACCATGGGAACAAACTTTGTTACAATTTCGTTATAAACATCAAATCAACTCGGTTCAACCGGAATAGGACCCATAAATACAATATAATGAACCCCTTAAGTCGTTCAAAATATTATGACTGTATAAAACGAATCAGTGTGTCACTTCATTAGATGATACCAATGTTTAGAACGAAATAAACTTTTATTCTTAAAGTGTACCAGAATCACTTTCGGTGCCAATTAAGCCATGTCCGTCCATCCTTCCATACATCCGGAAGCCTTATATGGGGGACCAGGGCCCACTTCACAAAATTAGCTTGAAGTCAATAAATAGTTAAAGTAAAGCATTAAAATAAATCTGGACAAAATGCTAAGTTTTAAAAATAAAATTGAAATTAACATGAAAAAATTATCTAAATGAACTTAAAGTAAAAACCACAGATATCCGTCGCAAGTCCCATGACTAAAACATATACAAGTTTTCTTAAGAAAAAAATCAATACTCCATTGAATACAAGGTAGGTACTTAAAAAAAGTAATTAATTTTACAACTTCAAACGATTGAAAATTACAATATAAACATTTAACAAGAGTATTTTAATCGGTCATACCGTATCTTATATACCCAACAAATGTGCCATATCAAATTGATATTCGAAAAAAGTACCTTGATTTTCGGAAAAGTACCTTTTGTGAATATTAACTTAATATCATGATTTCAAAATGAAAATAAAGCCATTCGAGTCCTATCGTATTTTCAACAAACAGCGAGACTAGCTCGTCGTTATGGACCCAAAATATACATATGGGCAGGGCAATTTCGTGTCAAGTGAACTTAAAAAATCTATTTGGATGAAATTTACACCAAGGTTAGTACTATTGGATAGTAGGCCAGACACACATTTTCAGCTCTATCGGTCAAAAACTGCCGGAGTTAGAGGGGATCAAAGTTAGACATTTTGGTCATACAGGGTTTTTTTCAAATGAAACTTTTCACCTATTGGTCTTAGCAATTTAGATATGTAGCTTGGGTCACTTGTCATGAAATTGCCTATATAGTATTTGTGGGTCTACAATCAATATTTCAATGTGTTACAAACGAAATGATAAAAACAATATACCATCCTTTACATTGATAAGTAGTGGTTATAAAAAGTAAAAAGGTACTTGAAAATACAAAATGCATTTTGAAATGCTCAAAAATATTGTTTAAATTATATAAACTACTTCTTGCTTACCTTCAAAACTTGTGTAGAGTTGAATTGTGTGTGATTTTGAAGAAATATTGAAATTAAAATTGTTTATTTATAGTATAAAGCACGTTTAAAATTTTCTGTAAATAAGATAAACAAAACAAATTTATTTATTTTTATTTTTAAATTAATTTATTTTTATAATTAAGTTTTATTATTAACGGATTTTTATCAACAAATCAATTTTGGTAATTTAATATTTATAAAAAAAAAAATAAATAAATAGCTAAGTAAAAATTGTTATAACTACACTGGCACACAGCAATAAAACGTAAATAGATATTGTAATTAATTAATTAATTAATTAATAATTCATTCTCACTGAATTGAATAACATTTTTTGTGAACTTTTTTTTTTCTTGGTATCTTTTATTTTAATGGCAATATACAATTAATTAATCTTTACGTATTTTTTTTTTTTGTTTACCCACACACACACTATAAATGATAAACTCAGACCCAAAGAAATTGGGGATAAAAAAAAAAACATCCAAAATGTTGTCGACTAAAAAAACGCGCGCGATTTCTACTCACAGACACTTTAGATATTGACTTTAAAGATTATAAAATCGTACTGACTTGATGTTCAACAAATTGCAAATGTTTAAACGTAAAATTTCTCATAAAAAAATATATAATTCTGTTGGTTTTTTCTTTTTTTTTTTTTTTGCCAATGTCTTTTGAAACACAATGAAAGCGTTAGGCGACTAAAATAGTCTTTTAACTATTTAAAGTTATTATGTGGAAGTATAATTAAAAATATGTGGCTGTGTTTCAGGGAATCATTTGTATTTTTTTTTTTTTTCGTTTAAAAAGTTAATACTTTTTAAATTAAAATTTTTAAAAAAATTATATTTTTTTAATTTATAAAATTTTCTAAGTATTCTTTTACGCTTAACGTTTTTATTGTAATCCCTTGCTCTTTTTTAACCCTACACAACAAAAAAGAACCAAAACATAATTCATGATTGATCATGATATTTAAATACAAAATTTTAGTACACTCATCATCATTCTCTTTTACTCTCACATAAGTCTGCTCTTCACTTTTATTTTGTTTACCATATTCTGGTATCATCTTCAAAAGTATTGCCAGATTATTTTATTTAACAAATTACTTTAGGTGAGAGAGCGTTTTTATTAAAGTGATAAATAAATAATTATTCTTTTTTTTTCTCAATGAATCATTAACAAAGAAAACAACAATATACCCACTGTACAAGTATATAAACATGTATGCAAATTAATTTGTAGCATTTTTTTTCTTGTGTATTATTTATTTTTTTACTTTTTTTTTGGGTTCAGTTGAATTGAGTCAAGCCTTTTTATTTACATTGGCGATAACGTCATTTTACGTTTATTACTTTTTTTTAAGAAAAATATCGAGACTTTTTTTAAGTACCCAAAGTACAAAGTTTATAGAAATTCCCATATTGCAGTATAGAAAATGACGTAGTTGTGTTTTTGTTTATTCATTTCAAATCTAAACAAATTACTGTTTATGAATTTTATATAAAAATACAATGTAATGATTTTGTAAAGTGTATTTGTACTCTCTCTGCAAATACTAATTAAAAACTATTTTTAATTTGTTGCAAATTAATATTATATAGAATTATGTATTTTGAAACAGGTGTTTTATTTTTAGTACAACTTCAAAGAATAACCGATAAACACTAGATTATCATTCTCATATTTTCGATTAAAGCATATTCGCCCACTGATTCTCCTTAAGTTCTATTTTAGAATACCTCCAATATATGTGGGGAATTTCATGCCAAGTGAGCCAACTCAAAAAATGGATTTTGACGAAATTTGCACTTAGGTTAGTACTGTTGGATAGTAGATCAGACACAAATTTTCAGCTCTATCGGTCAAAAACTGCCGTACTTGGATTTGGTTAAAGTTGGACATTTTAGCCATACAGGGTTTTATTCAAATGAGTGTAACTTTTTACCTATTGGTCCCAGCAAAAATTGTCCAAAGGAGTTCAGATAGCTATTTCATTCATTCTTACAAAAAAATGTTTGAATTTAATTTTTTTTTTTAATTTTATTTTGTGTCTGAAGTACTATCCTATAGTACTTACCTTGGTGCAAATTACATCCAAATCGGAAGACATCTATATTTAAAGCACTTGACACGAAATTCCCCATATATAAATCAGATTTGTGTCTAAAGGATTAAGTTGCCCCGAATCATAATCTCAGATTTTCTCCATCACACTGGATTCTGAGATATCGTAACCTGAAGTTTGAAAACCTTCAATTTTTGGCCGTTTTTAAGACATTATAATATATCCTAGACAACTTTGTTTAAAAAATATTGCATGTCATGAGAAAGTCTATTCTGTCAACATATCTGACATGTCTTCTTCCTTCTTCGAGATATTTTCATTAAAAACTTGAAATCGAATGAAAATCTCGTTCGGATTTGATTTAACGATGTCTGTCCGTCTGTCAAGTTCAACGGATGATAAGTAATTACTGACATACAGCAGATATCTAAACAATTCAAAAATTATTTTCGGCTTTAGGTACAGTAATCTCGAAGAAGAATGGACTTTCAGATGAGGTACAACATTTTATAAATATATTGGCTTGGCGCTGTTGTAATGTCTCAAAAGTACCAAAAATTACGTTTTTTTTAAACTTCAGAATACGATATCTCGAATCCCAGATGTCATGTCGGGTTGTGTTAAGCTATGTATAAACGGTTGTCAGATTTTACAACGTTGGCAGATCTGGAAATGTACTAACAATGAAAAATTGCTAGCAACAGGTAAATTGTCCGTTCAGACGGTTGTAAGAAAATCTTACAGTTTCATTGGCAGACAATTGCCAGACAATAAATTTATCTGTCAACAAAAATTGCCAGTTCACACTGTTGTCAGACTGTTGTTGCTAGATCTTATTTTAGCTGTATGTGTTCTTTTAATGGAGCGTGTGGCCAATATAAAACATTTATCTGACAACGATTCCATTGAATTAGTTTTCCAAAATTGTCAGACAATTATCTGACGTAATGCGTTTACACGATTGTTAAATGTCTGACAATATTATTGTTTTACAATATACTGACAATGCATTTTCTAACAACGTTGCAAGACAAAAATTGTAAGTTCAAACGGATATTACGCATTTGGCAAAAGTTACTTACATAAAAATTCCCTTAAAAAAAGGGGATTACCAGTCAGGTTATTTTTGAATCCAGAAAATATATTGGCAAGTGAATGGAAAATTTGTTGTCTAACCAACCTGTGTAAAGTCGGTTCAAAATTATGCCCGATATCTTAAAAAACCAAGTTATGGAAAAATATTTAAGCATTAATTTATATATGTCTCTTATTTGAAAATTATAAGAGATAAATAGAACACGTAAGCATTATCTAGCTGAACACTTTCAGAAAATATGAACATCTTTGAAATCGGATGGGAAACACTGAAATTACACCTGTTTTAAAAATTTGCCAACCTATTTGTCATAGGTGGCCACCTTTGAGACCGCATTGTGCCGTCCCTGGAGTAGTAATGGGGTCTATTTTTAACATTTTAAATTAAATACTCCTTAACTACGCCTGTGTCAAATATCGAAATGGTAGAGTAATTTCCAAAAATGTTATAGTTCCCTGCCAAATGACGTGAAAAAGTGGTTATATTCTTGAGGGTATTACAATATCGGCAGTATGAGATTATAGTTTGATATATTACATACCGTCCGAATGATTAACTTGTCTAGTTTCTTAGTGTCAGTTTTATTTGTTCGGTTTTAGAATGACTTACACACAAATAGGAAAAAAATGCAGAATAGTGCAAATGCTAAAAATTTGTCTGGAGTTACAAAACATTTATTTCGATACATATTCTACTCGCATCCGACTAAGCGACTAAAAAGATCTTATAGGAGAAGATCTAAGCTTTTGAGCCAAACATAAATAGTGCTCAAATTGGAAAAAAATTTAATTTTGCAAAAAAAAATTCAAATTTTTTCAAAAGTTTAAAGAAATAGCTTCCTAAACAATTTTGGAACTAACTTTCCTATGAACAATAGTTAATAAGTTACATAGATGAGAAGTAACACATGTTTTGCAAAAATGTCAAACTTCTTGACCGATTTTGTTGAAAAATTGTGCCTAAACTACTATTCAATAGGACTAACATTGGTGCAAATTTCATGCCGCCCATATATATAAAGTTAAGTCTTTTATGAGCCTTTCCTTATGGGTCTCAATGTGAATAAATATTTGTAATTTATGTGGTTTCATTTAAAAAGATTTAAGTGATTGAAAATATATTTATTATTGGTATACATATTCAAACAAAGACTTATAGATATGATTTAAAAGCAATATGCATTTCCACAAATAATTAAATTTCCAATTAAAGTTTAAACAAGCCAAAAATTATTTAATTAATACAATTAAGTGGGAATGCAATTTTGATTATAACCCAAGGGCTATATATTGCAAAAATGAAAAAAAAAAAAATAATTTAGAAACCATAGTTTTAATATATATTATTAGAACGATAACTAATAAAGCACTTATTACGATAGGGTACTTGAAATTCCCATATTACGGTAGGCTACTTGAAATTTCCATTGTAAAGTATGTTTACTATACTCAATAACATTTAATTTTCTACATATTCCAGATGGTTTGTTCCACTAAATTAATTTATTTATAAACAATTATTCAATACAAGATCTTACAAGAACAATTGAAACAATTGTAAACGATTAAACAATTAATTATCAATAAAAAAACACAAATAAGAAAACAGAAATGTTCAAAGCTCATATGTCTATGGGGTTTCCCACAGCATCGTTTCGAACTAAAACAATAAAGAATCAAATGTTCTTTCAATCTTCATGCTTTTTCATATATAAAAAAGAGCCGCAATATAAAATGAAATTGTATGCAAAATTTATCTTTAATTTTTCTATAGAATTTGTCTTAAAAATAAATACTAGTGATACACTGACTGAACATGAGGAAAGTGAAATCAGACAAAACAATGAAATGTGGAAAAAATAATACTTAGAGAAAAATATTTATAAAGTAGTAAACTAAAATAAATTATGAATAAATTATTATAATCAATAAAAAAAATTATCTGATTTGTGAACAATGTTGAAGAAAGAGAAACAAAATAAAATCATTAAATAAGTAATAGTTTGTAGATAAAAATTCTTTCAGTGCATCTTTAGGATTCTGTATTGGAAAGTTTAACGACATTTGGAATTTCTTAATGAATAATTAATAAATCTTATAAATAAATGCATATCATTCCATTAAATAATTAATAGAAAAACGGAAAATAATTTAATTTTAATCAAAACTATAAACACACCCATTTTTTAATAGATAAGTGAGATACAATTTATTCAAAAGTTTTAAAATTTCCACAGAATATGTATATAATGATTTAACGAAAAGTAAACTACAACTATTATTTTATAATTAAAAGATTTTGGACTATAAATTTTTCAGATCTGGAGGAAATTGTGGTCCGATCCTTACAAAATTTGGTGGATGGATAAAATGTATTTAACCTAAATTTCATCTCGATATTAGTCTTTTTAAGCTAATTGTGGACATTAAACTCATTTTCTGAAGGGGTCTTTGTATGAGGGCTAGGGTCAAGTGAGGACCGATCATTACAAAATTCGATATGAACATCATGAAAAATATACAATTAAGTTGTGCCGCTTTTTGTAGAGACCCGGGTATATTAAACATAATTTTGGGTTCTAAATTCGGGAGGTTCAGTTGTATGGGGACTATGTGAAATAATGAACCAATTTGAACCATTTTCAATAGGCTTCTTTCTTAGGACAATAGAAGAACAAGTACCAAATTTCATTCTTCAATTATCTTCTCCCCGGGGCATGTTTCCATGATAAAATGTCCCATCATGGTGCTCATGACACCTGTTCTTCCTCAACGGGACTACTATGGCAAGAGATTAGATAGCTCGAGTACTTGAACAAAGTGCACGTATAATGGACCGGCATCCATATACGTAAATTGCAACCTGCGTATAAGATACACAAAGGGTTATTATATTTTATATTTTTGCTCACCCAGTGGATGAAAAAGATCACCGTGAGATAGGCCAACACAGCAGATACTCACGTAAAGCACTTCGACCTTTGTGTTCAATTATCTTTAAAATTGCGAACGGTCAGATGGACGGACATAGTAGGTAAATCGACATAGAAAATAATTCTATCCGATTGGTATACTTTAAGGTGGGTTTAGGACCAAAATTATTTTGTCTTGCACGGCGCAAACCCAATATACCCTCCCAACAAAAGTGGTGAAGGGTATAAAAAGTTTTTAAATATTCGTAGTGTCTCATATACGACTAGATATGATTTGCTTTGAAATTTTAAGAAGGCGAAATGCCACGCCCACATACAACTAGTAATAATATGCCAATTAAATACTAAAAAAGTGGGTAACTAGAAAAGCTAGAGTCACGTAATTTTTGACGGGCAAATTTAGTTTCAATATAAATATTTAGGAAGAAAATTATTGTACAAGCAATACTGGGTTTGGTACCTCCCATATGAACTAGGAAACATCTAGGTATATCAAATTTGAAACAGATATCTTTGAGACTCCTTAATCATTTACGGAAAATGTTGGTGGACTAGCAATGGTGGGTATGGCACTTTCCCTATGAAGTAAATATTAAACTTATAATATCTGGGAAAAGAGAACAACTACCGTCATAAAATTGTCCTCCTACTCATAGAACAGTCCGCTATTTGCTCTTTTTTCAATACCAACATACTATTTATTCAAAACTTTGACCCTTTAATTCCTATAATGCTTGAGAGCCTTGTTTGTGATATTATGTTTGCTACCCACAATGAGTAATCCACTACTACACTCAATTATTGATCTCACAAGGAGATAGAAAGTCGTTAGGCATTCTTCTAGATATACTAACTAACTGAGCACTGTATGATTGGACGCCTGTCAGATCGTATTGACTGCGAAAGTAACAGTTAGAAGAGGTAAAGTGCAATATTTATGAACTTTTATAATTCTGAATTTTGGTTTTGATAGAAAAATCATGTTCGATTCATACTATTTATTACCATTTTCATTACATTTATGAATTGTTTTTTCTGTGTATATAAACTTTCATTTTCTATAGTCATCAAAATTCAACAATTTTCTGAAGTTGCTTATTAAACACACCATTTTTCTTTCTGTTTTTTTTTATTATTTTTAAACTCAACGTTTTAAAACTATCATCCATTTATTTTAATGTTGGCAACACTTCACACTACTAAAGTACCACTAAAAAAGTACTTAAGTGAACACACCCAATCTACAACCACATTGGTTTATCAATCGACCACCACAAGTAGGAATATGAAAACAACAAATACAGCATGTACTTAAACACAATGTTTGTCGTTTGACGTTATCGCTCACACGCTCTCACACAAACAAAACAACAAACGAGAGTATTTATTTTTAGAGACCCCGCTAAAGATGCGTTTGTTGGCTGAGTCAGCTAAGCGGTTGTGTTCTTCTGTATACAATCGTTTTGGTTTTCTGGTGGCTGGGTTCGAAACCTAGTCAAATATGGCCCAACAAACATCCTTTATTTCTTTAATATTTAGTGTTTTCAATTAGATTTGAATAAATGTGTTGTTATTAATGAAATGCGATTTTCAATGGCATAATGATCTGACTGCTTGACAACAAACGTTCAATTTGTTGTCTGGCAATAGACAGATAATTTCCAAATAAATCGTAGATTAAATTGGTTAATGCTTCAAAGTTGCTACGTTTGTTCCATAAATGATAGTGTTTGGAAGCAATTTCCAAATAAATATTTTTTTATACTTTATTAAAATTTCACAATTAAATATTCTGTAATTAATTATTTAAATTTTGTTTTATTGCAGCTACAACAAATTTTGTGGGCAAATTTACCCAAAGTGTTCGACGTATTGTGCAAGATGTCAAAGATGAAGGAGCCCCCAGTAAGTCATTTAAAAAATACAATATTAAAAAGGGTTTTTTATAAAAGATATGTGTAATTTTATAGGTGGCATGAGTCGTGAGGAAGTTATAGAAACCAACGAGAGATTAAGAAATTTACGCATACGTTTGGAAGAGTCCTACGATACAGCCAAACAGGCTTTAATAAATCTCATGAATAAATATGGCGATTCGAAAAGTCAACGTAATGTTTTCCAGCGTTATCCCATGCTCAAATTAATGATTAAGGTGATTTGATCAATTTTATAAAAAAAAAAAAAAATTTGAAACATTTTAAAAAATTATATATATTTTTTATATACAAAAAGGATGTCATACGCCTGGAAACACAATATTGGGCTTTAGTTGATATACCTCGCCAGGAAAAGCAAGAAACCGTACCCTCATATGTTATGCGCGCCTGTTCGATTATGGAAAAAACTCAAAAATCTGGTGAGGGCGTTAAAACCTCTGCGAAATTGGCCGAAGAGGCAGCAGAAAAGAGAGAGCGTATGGAAAGATTGGAGCGTAAGAAATGTTTTTTTCATCAGTTGTATGAATTTCTTAAAGATTTTTCTTTTCAATTAAATTTCAGATTTAACCACCGCACAAATCGAACTAGAAAACACACAACTAATTAACGATTTATATAGATTATTAAAAAAGTATTTAGGCCTGAGACATCTAATAAGAGTGTTAAAGGTAAGGTATCGTTTATGGTCTAATAAAGTACTTCTTTCGAGAAAAAAAGGGGCTCCAAACAAAATAAATTTATAATATAAATCAGCCTATAGCCGATATTATATTCCACGCTCTTGTATACATTATAGTGCAGACTAGTTCAGACTATATTTTATAATATATATAGTCCAGTCTTTTTTCAGTATTAAGGCCTTTACTATAGTCCAGACTATAATGGACACTATAGTAATTATAAATACAGACTATTACAGAGACCGTAGCGTAGAGTTTAGAATATGCCCGAGTCTGTAGTTTCGACTATAGTCACACATACAGATCAGACCATAGTCCAGGCTATAGTTCAAACTTTGGCCCTGACTACTATCTAGGCTTCAGAGTTCATATATAGTCGTAACCATGATCTGAACTATAGTCTGGGATATAATCTTGACAGTAGTTCAGACTACTGTTCAGATCAGTGTCCTAAGTTCAGACTATTATTCCAACAATAATTAAGACTATATTCTTTATAATATATATTGCAATTGTTTAGTTTATAGTACAGACTAAAGTTGAAAATAATAGTACAGACTATAGCATAGACAGTAGTTTATTATTATGACTATAGTTCGGTTTATACTCCTGATTATAGTCCATGCTTTGGGATATTATGTAGACAGTAGTTCAGTCTACTGTTCAGACCATTGTTCAGATTGTTGTCCTGCGTTCAGACTATTATCCCGACAATAATTTAGACTATAGTCTTTATAATATCCTAGACTGTTGTTTAGATTATAGTACAGACTAAAGATGAAACTATAGTCCAGACTATAGTTTAAACAATTATGACTTTATTTCAGTTTATAGCCCTGACTATAGTCTATGCTTTGAATTACAGTGTAATCTTATCTATAGTCGAGGCTATAGTTCAGACTTTAAACAGAGTTCTGCCTATAACCCGTAGACATCTTATATCAATTCATCAGATAAATCAATAGGTCCCTCGTACCTTTTTAAAAACTAAAAACTATTCGAATACTATTTAATTTAACTTCTTATAAGTCCATTTCTTTCACTGATACTTTTCTTATTACAGGAAGAATATGGCAGTTCAAAATTGTATCCCATATTTCCACGTTACACCATGCTCAAGGATATGATAAAAGGAATAATGCACGATCCTGATTATATGGAAGTATGTCATGAAATAAACAATTGAATTAATAAAAACTAAAGTGTGTAGACAGGATTTAGTTAAAAAGAAAATTATAAAAAAAAATGAAAAAAAAAGTATTTATAAAAAAGGGACAACAAAATTAAAGTAAAAGAAAAAAGTTTATACTTATATATAAAAATATTTCTCTAAAATAAGTCAGAAACCTTAGAAAGAAAATTTGAAACTGCATACAATAGCAAGAAAAAACAGCAGCGATGTATGTTAAGTTATTATGAGCAACATCATCATCATCAGCAGCAGCAGCAACATTTACATCCTTCAAATCCTTCAGTATTACAACAACAAAAAGAGATTTACAAAAAAAAAAAACTACAACAACAAGAACAAAAAACGCACATTGGCATTAATGCCTGCAGGATATTGAAGAAACATAAGAAAAAAAATTTATAAGGTTGTGGAAACCACAGAGCAGCGGATGTGGAAAAAATTGCAAATTTTCAATATTTAAGAAAAAAATTTATAAATAAAAAACTAAACGTTGACTTAAAGCTATAAAAAAAAAACTATTATAAAGTTGAGAAAAAATCCCCTAACAATCCACCTCTACTCCCATCTATTAACATTGCAGAATTTTAACTATAGAAAATTGTTTTGTAAAATAATTAAAAACATATAAAATGCTTGAGGTATACAATATTTCAGTTATGCTTGCTACAATAACAAGGGTTTAATTAAAGTTTATATTTAACATAGTTGCAATTAACTAACTATAGTTTAATTTTTAAAATAATGCCAAATTAAACTAGGTTTACAAATGAACTGTTTCATGAAATAATTGCTAATAGCTTTGTTGTATTTTTGGTAGCTTATTGTTAGTTAGTTGAAATATTAGCAATTTACATTTATTAAGGAATTTTGTTTACCAAGCGAAAATTGTTTAAGCTTTAAAGCTTTTTAAACTTAAGTGCATTTACATAAATAATAAATAATTTAAATATAATAATAAATTATTTTCATTTACTTATTATTATTATAAAAATATTTAAACTAACTCAAAGCTTTATGAACTTTTAAGTTGCAAAACACTTCAAATGTTTCATCTCATCAAAAGTGTTAAAAGCCTTTCTAAAGCTTCTCTTCCTTGAATAATAGCTTTTCATATAATGTTCCACAATGCCCCGAATCTTTGAGGCTATGAGCCGATTTAGCAATTATATTTAATATACATAGGTCCCACAGGCAAAATTTCAGATTATAGTCCAGTATAAAGTTTTGACTATAGTCCAGACTACAGTTCATACAATATTTTAGATCATAGTTTAGACTTTAATCTATATATGGACTACTGGTATAAACTATAGATTAGGCCATTATTCCGACTATAGTTAAGACTATAGTCCAGACTACAGTTCGGAATGCAGTACAAACTATACCGATTAATATGGATATGTTCATACCAATAATTCATACAATATTTAATTTCATTTAATTAATACAGTTCATACAATATTTTGGATCATAGTTTAGTCTTTAATCCATAATCTATAGGCCATTGTTCCGACTATAGTTAAGAATATAGTCCAGACTACAGTCCAGAATATAGTTTAGACATAGTCCAGACTACAATTCATATAATATTTTAGACTTTAACCCATAAATGGTCTAATAGTCGAAACTATATTTTTAGACTACACTATAGCCTAGGATTTAGACTGCTATTCAAACTATAGTCTAAATAATTGTTTATTCTATAGTCCAGACAATAGTTCAAAATACAGTCCAAACTATATCGACTAATATATTCATACAATATTTTAGATCATAGCTTAGACTTTAATCCATATATGGAATATTGGTCTAAACTATAGTTTAAGCCATTTTTCAGACTAAAGTCTAAGATAATATTAAGACTGTAGTCCGGACAATAGTTCTGAATGAAGTCCATACTATATCGATTAATATGTATATTTTCATAACAACAGTTCATACAATATTTAAGACTTTAGTCTATATAGTTTACACTTTAGTCCAGAATATAGTTTAAACATAGTCCAGACTACAGTTCATATAATATTTTAGACCATAGTTTAGACTTTAACCCATAAATGGACTAATAGTCGAAACTATATTTTTAGGCTATAGTGTAAACTAGTGTTTAGACTACTGTTCAAACTATAGTCTAAAAAATAGTTAATTCTATAGTCCAGACAATAGTTCAAAATACAGTCCAAACTATATCGACTAATATATTCATACAATATTTTAAATCATAGTTTAGACTTTAATCCATTGTTCAGACTATAGTCTAAGATAATGTTAAGACTGTAGTCCAGACAATAGTTCAGACTGCAGTCCAAACTATATCGATTAATATGGATATGTTTATACCGACTGTTCATACAATATTTAAGACTTTAGTCTATATAGTTAACACTATAGTCCCGAATATAGTTTAGACATAGTCCAGACTGTAGTACATATAATATTTTAGACTTTAACCCATAAATGGTCTAAGAGTCGAAACTATATTTTTAAGCTAAACACAGTTTAGACTATTGTGCAGACTGTAGTCTGAAATATAGTTTATTCTATATTCCGGACAATAGTTCAAAATACAGTCCAAACTATATCGATTAATATGGATGTGTTCATACCAACACTTCATACACTATTTAAGACTATAATGTAGACTTTAATCCATATAATATTTCAGTCTATTGTTCAGACTATAGTCCAGACAATAGTTCAGAATATAGTCAAAACTAAATCGATTAATATGGCTGAGTTCATAGCAACACTAATCAATCTTTCATATAGTAAATTATCATTTCACTATGGGACCTAACCCTTAGTCTTTTTCCGAATAAATATATGAAAAATAATTAACTGTTTCGTAAGTGAACCAGGGCCCTTAAAAATACTCATAGCCGGTGTAGGATATCGTATGACAGAAGGAACCATTTAAGTCGAAATTGTGAGCTGAATTTATCCTAGGATCATATTCATAAAAGTTTATTTTCCTTATTTACACATAAAACTAATAATCATAAAAATACCAAAGTTTGTACTAAAAACGTGTATAAAATAAACTGCAAGATTTCTGACTATGTAAAAAACTATATATTTTAAGTACAGAAATGGTGAGATAAAACTTATTTTTTACAAAACTCTCAGATTCTATATATTTTTTTTAACTATTTAAAATTTTTTTATTTGTTTATAAATTTTAATTCTAAACATATAATTTTTGGTGTATTTTCCTTTTTTTGGTTTCAATACTAGATTGACTGTAACTAGACTTAAATTTCCACTATCAAAATCTATAGTTTAAGACCAAACCTAAAGTCTCTACAGAGACCCTTAAGTATTCAGGCAAAAAAATGACTAAATTAAACATTTTATTATTATTGTTTTTTTTTCCAGATAAGAATTCCATTGGTCTTGAATACATCATCAACATCCTCCTAAATTTTTACATAAAACCTGAATTTTGATAAAAACCCCCTTTATTGGTACTGGCTGTCATTAAAAAAATATATATATACCTACACTCTGCAAAACCTTACCCCTTAAGTAACTAATCCAAAACCAAATTAAAATGTTTTATTTGTAACAAATTTCGAAGGACCCTTTCCGCAAGACTTATTTTTATTATTATTTGTTTTACTATTAAGTATTATTAGAAAAGACTTTTCAACACTAACGAGCTTTAACAATAGAATCTGGGATTTTTGTATAAAAAAATTTCTCTTTTTGGCAAAACTTTTTAACATTTCTATACTTAAGACTTTTTTTACTCTGAAAACTATGAAACATTATTAAGATATTGATCTAGAAATCTAACAAAATATAAATATTTAAATATATAAAAATAAAAGTTTTATACAAACAAATAAAAATCATTTATTAAATATAATGCTTAACTAATGCCAATTGTTGGAAATTTTTAAAAAATTTCCTTGAAAAATTATTGAATTTTGAGAATCGTTAACGCACAATATAATTTTTAAAAGTAAGAATGTGGAAAATTTCTTAATTATTTTCTAACAATTGTCATTAGTAATGTATTTATTCATTTAGTTTAATATAGAAATTAAATCATTTAAATTATTTAAGTTTTTAAAAAAAATGCATTTATATGTTGTAAAATTAATTAAATAGATTGATAAACTATTTGTACTTTGTCAACATAATAAAATAATTGTAATTATGCAAATATTCTTCTAAGTAGAATATTATTATACTCTTCAGCATTAATTTTAGAAAATTTTTCAGTTTTTTTTACTCATGGTTCAAAAATCATACTCAGATATTATGAACTTCTAAAGACCTGTAAATTTCCCTAAGAAATGGCACTTACAAGCACTACAAAGCAAACATTTTCATTTAAAAGTAGGTAATGAGTTAAAATACTAATAAAACCACTTTTCACTACTTACTCAGTGGCAAGTACTTACCACGCTCGCTTACAAATAGTGAGTTACATAAGTACTTACTTTCTTACAAACATGTGATTAAGTAAGTAGTTTTGTTTTGATTTTCAATTTTGATTCCTTTTTGTGTAAAAAAAAGTTGTTAACTCGCGATTAAATTTTCAATTTGTCACCACACATTGAGTATTAATTAATGTCGACTGCTTTACGTGAACAGCTGCCGTGTTGGCCTATTTAACGGTGGTATTTTTCAACCACTGGGTGAGCTTTTGTAATGACTCACCAGTGCTCCATTGCTCTTTTTAGCAATTTACGAATATGCAATTTCCGGTCCAGTATACGTGCACTTTGCTCAAGTACTTGAGCTATATAATCCGAGATGCAAAAACATCACTTCCGTTTACAAACACGCAGATGAGATGGCCTCTGTTGAGTAGGCAGTAATACCTAGAAGCGTAACCGGTAGACCGAAGTTCTTACTCACAGAGGACACACTGTGGTAAATCTGGTATGAACAGAGTTTTCTCTGAACATACCTGGACAATGAACGAAAATTCAATGGTATCACTTGCATAAGATACCTTTCATCCATAACCATTAAAGCCTGCA